GTTCTCTCTGTATCAGTCCAGTCCAGGGGCATTTCCTCCGAGTAGGCAAGGGAGGCAGTGTCTCCGCGAAATATTAGAGGAGAAAAAAAAATCATAGAACAAAAATAAAACAACTACAATATTACAAAATATAACATTAAAAAGTGTATAAATCACTTGTTTTTCTAAAGAAACATCCAAGTGACACCAGCAGGTAAAGTTACAGCAGGAGTCTCTCTCGCCTGAGCCCATTCACTTTTAACAGACCCCCTAAAGCTGCGGTGAGTTTGGTGGGGGGTAATTGAGAATGAATGGGGGGAAATCACGTGAGAGGAGACAATGCCACCATCACAATAGGATTGGATCTGACTGGTTATGTTCGGCTGTGATTGGTTGATGCGATAAATCCTGCCTCTTGTGTTCATGCGCGTTCCGTTCGCGAATCAGTCTGAATGAACAATGTAATGGCGTTAATGGTAAGACTAATTTTAAAAAGTAAGTAAACAACTCAGAAACTTAGATATAACTACTTTGTTATGTCAAAATAAGACTTGAAATGGCCTTAAAACATGATCTGTGGGAGTTTTTAGTGTAATCAGCTTGGTAAAATTTTAAGTAAATCTCTGTGTCTGTGAGCAATATTCACCGAGCTTTGATGACTAATGAACCGACTAATTCAAAAATAGTAAAAAGTTAACTATTAAAAAGAATAGCCGAATATAAGTTCACAAATAAAATCATCTCAGGTTACGTATGTAACCATGGTTCCCTGAGTAGGGAACGAGACACTGCGTCCTCTAGGGGTCGCTATGGGGAATGCCTCGTCGTGACACGTGTCTGAAGCATACATTGAAAAAACACCAACAACACGTTGGCCGGCGACAGCCATCACACCCAGTTCTCAGTCGAGAAGGGGTCTCGACCTACAGCATGTTCCAATGCTGGAACGGCTAGCAGTAATTTACCTTAGCTGAGGGAGCACAAACCCAGCTCTTAGTGAAAGGGGGGCTCGACCTACAGCGCGATTGTTAGAATCAGAAGAGTAAGTGTACTGCAAGCTAACCAAAAAACTCAGCGCATCAGAGAGGCAAAGGAAGGACCTAGTTCGCCTGATGCTGCTGGTTCCAGGTGCTCTGGGAAAAACAGAGAACTCAACTCTCACATGAGAGGAGAACTCAGAATTCAGAAGGAGTAGCGTGCTCATAGGTAACCTTTGATAAAAGGGGAGCAACTGCTCAGCACTACCACGAGAACAGCCCATGGAGCGAGGAATCCAACTCCTCAGAGAGAATTAAACGCTCGAAAGAAAGCACCATGCTCACAATAACCCTCAATGGTGAGGGGAGCGATGCTTCCAGAGTGCGTCGACAGAGACACACTAGTTGAGTGAAGCCCAAGGAACCGGGGTCTAACCAACTCAGAGAAAGGGAACGAGGCTAATAACGCGTAACCCTTACCATACAGGATTTCAGAAAAGTGGGCAAAGCATAACGTGCACACGTACCACCTATGTGGATTTTTAGAAAGTGCGCAAAGCTTAACGTGCGCACTTACCATAGTATGGATTTAAGAGTTTTCCAAGCATCTGTTCACAGATACCCGGAAGTACTGGGCCAAACGGAAGAGGCAAGCTCAAATAC